CCGCCATTCAAGCTTATCTGTAATATCCTTCCTTTCACACAATCTCATTTCATTCCCACATGTTGGACATTCATACTTGTCCGCAGTTAAGCAATTCTTTTCAATTACACATAAACGCAATAAAAATTTCAGATTTACTTTATATAGGGCCATGGGATCCAAATATTAAACAACACTGTTTCACAAAACATAGAATGAAACTATTGCTATAAAGTACAGCAGATATTTTTACAAATTTACCCCCTTTTCCGATTAAAGAACAGTGATTCGTCCATTAATGTCACATGACATATCTCATGATCTTTCATTTCCCTCACACAAAATAATGCGTAATCGGAACTGAGTACTTCTCACATTATTTCCAAAGTCCTAGGTAGTAACCTTTATCGTCGCCAAACTACCTGTTACCATATCCCAAAGATTAGCCGTTTATTTTATTAAACGTTTCTTTCAATGTAAGTTGTTTAAGTTGCTTCGTTTTATGTGATAATACTTTCTCTTTAATTCTATAAACAGACATAATTTCTTGTTCAGTTACAAAGTTCCGCTGTTCAAGTCCCGTAATTGCTGTGCCGAGAATACCGACTAACTTGTCGATCAAAATTTTTTCGTTTTCACTAACCTCTCTGTCACCTTCTTCATGTCTTATCCATTTTCTGCAGCAATTCCACTTTTTGTTTGATGGAAATGGAAACATACTTTCGTTTTGTAGATCCTTTGGGAGCTCCAGCATCAGAAATTCTATTTGATATAATCGAAAGTTCAAGTTTACTTTTATAAAATTGCTGTTATAGTCTGCAAAAAATAATAAGCTGGATCCAATTCGAAGATTAAAGAACAACGCAATCATCAACATTAACTGAAATAGATAATTTTAGCTTATACCGTCCGTTATACATTAAACGCGCACGCGAAAACGTATTCTGCGCTTGCGCACACGTTTATGCGCAGTCGTAAAGGTCTTACATGCAAGCTTAAACGCCTATGCGCATGTGTCAACGCGGTGCATGCACAGAAAGTTTTTAGCTTTGAGGTCTGAATTAACAATTTTTGACTGTATAAACAAAGGCTATATTGATGATTATTAATTCACGAATATGGTAAAAGTATAGTTTAGGGTACCCCTTGGCGATTTTTGGCGGTACATGGATACCGATTTTGTGTAATTCTTTGACTCGTTATTTTGGCTTGTGAAGTGGCGATTTTTGGCTCAAAAAATCGCCACTACACAAAGCCAAAATAACAAGACAAACAATTGCACAAACTCGGTATCCATGTACACATCTACTTATTTTCACTTAAAAAAAAAAAACTCAAATTGCACAAAAATGGCATTGCGCACTCCTTTGACTTTATCCATGTACACGTCGACCTATTTTCACTTTAAAAAAATCCCAGAATTGCACAAACTTGCATTGCGTACTCCCTTTACTTTGTCCATGTACATATCGATATATTTTCACTTAAAAAGTCAAAGGAGCACCAAATTCTACAATATAGGCAAACAAAAAAATACATAATCTTAATAAAATATGTTTTAAACCAAACAATAAAATAACAAAAAAAAAAAAAAAAAGGGAAAACATGTTATACATTTAAGCACTACCAAAAGCAATTATTCACTTATCATGATTTTCGAATTCGCTTCGTACACCCTGAGCCATGTAAAAATCAAAATATCAATCATACTCAAATGACTTTTTTCAAACCAGGTACTCTTTCTGATTGAACGCTTCACATAGTGACCATCTGAACCTTTCTTCCTACAAACCCATTCAAATCCATCTCAACGGTTTTAACACACACCACAAAAACCCTTACAAAACATCCCATGATTCAAAATTTCCCAGAATTATGCACCCGATTACGTCACAATAGGGTTTCCATAACATTCAACTACTCAGGCTACCATAAATGAAATAACTTGGCGATAAATCAAACAACAACTTCGCCATAATACAAGAGGTACCTTAAAGTCTACTCTACCCCACGAGGATTTCAAACATAACTTTAAGAAAAAGGAGGATTAACTATGAAAGCTATTTGACTGTAATTAAAACATACCTTTTACATGTATTTATATTTTTCAGTCATGCTGACACATTTTAATCAGATATTATATTTAAATTCTCAACCTTTGATATGGCATATGATCATAAGTATCAAATGTTATTTGCAAGTGAATAAAATTTTAAAATAACTTCTTTTTCTGACAAATCCTTTAACTACTTTTCTGATATTTTGATTACTTTAGAATACTTTTATTTTTCGAATATTAAAAATTTATCTTTGAAGTAGAGAATTAATAACCTAAGATTTAAAATTCTGAAAGATTTAAGAATGCAAGATTTAAAGGATAATATAAATATTATCTAATTATATAAATATTGTCTTTTAAATCCTTAATTATTAATATAAATTCAATGAGTGATTCCTTTTTTCGGACCTACTCTTATATGTGCACTCAGGTCGCCAAATATTTTTGGCGAGAAACTCCATGCTGCTATATATTACTATCTAAATTTTTTGTTTACATTTCAGACTTTAAGCCTAAAATGTCTCCAAAAACATGGTTTTCGCACATGCAAAAACCACATTTTGAATGCACAATTTAAGCTAAAAATCCAAAACAAAAACAAAAAATTTAGATAGCAAAAACATAAAGTTTCTAGCCAAAAATATTTGACAAGAATCCATGTTTATATGTTTAACTTAATAAAACATTGATATGTTTTAACTTAATAAAACATCTATGAATTGCACAATCTAGGCAACGAACGAATCTACGAACTATGCACACCTCGCTTTAATAAATTGACATAACAACAGTAAATTTCAAAGAATACCATGTAACCAGCATCCTGTTTCAACTTAAAAAAACATCTACGAATTGCACAATCTAGGCACTACGCACTAATCAACAAAATAAACTAAAAAAAATTTCAAACAAGTCAAAAAAACAACAATAATGACAAAAATTCATACTAAAAAAATAATAAACATAACATTCTACAAAATGAACAAGAATAAAATAAAATGCACTTACTATGAATGAATACTTTTTCGAACAGCAGAAATACCAATTTCATACCGTCTTTAACATGCCGCTACGTAATCATTATCCTATTTATATGACAGCCAGACACACTGTCCAGAAAATTCATATAGTCAAAAGTCTTTAATTCGGGATCGTCAGGACTTAGGCAATTCCGGATTATAGATCATCAGTTTAAATCTGGTAAGGTGGCATGCAGAAATTATAAAATTAAAAGTATAAAACCGTAATTTATGAAATAAGGAGAAATTATGATCTAAAGGGTATCAAAATTTACAAAAAAAAAAAAAAAAAAAAAAAGCTTAATATTTATTTTTTAACTTTATTAAACATTTCTTTCAGCACGCGCATGCATAAAGCATACATTATGCATAGTCGAAATTAAAAAATTGCAGCCAGAAAACTATTTGATGTGTATTTGTGATATTTATAATGATGAGGAATTTAATTAAATCATATGAAAGATGGAGTACATCGAGATGAAATACTACATTTAGTAAGGAATTATAAGCCGAATAAAATAAAAACATCTGTCCTGAAAATAAGGATAGTGCTGCCAGATCAACTTTCAATTCATTGCGCGTGGTGACGTTTCCCCTCCCTCCACCCGCAGAGCAGTGTGAAATTGATAAACAGATTTCGGAATGGTTAGAGAAACAAAGGATATGCCTTTATCCACCTTTTGTTTGATGGACATCGAAACATGCTTTTGCTTTGTAGATCCTTTGGCAGCTCCAGAATCGGAAATTCTATTTGACATAATCGAAAGTTCAGGCTTACTTTTATAAAATTGCTCTAACAGTCTGCAAAAAATAATAAGCCGGATCCAATTCGAAGATTAAGGATCAACGCAATCTACAGCATTAACTGAAATATATAATTAGATAATTTTAGCTTAGCTTATACTGTCCGTTATACATTAAATGTGCATGCATAAACGTATTATGCGCATACGTAAACGCATATGCGCATGCATAAAGGTATTATGCATTTACGCATGTGCAGAAAGTTACTAGCTTTGATGTCCGGATTATAGATCATTCTGGATTATGGATGTCTGGATTAAAGACTTTTGACTGTACTATGGTTCACAAATAAATGTTCAAAACCTTCTTTTCCTAAATCCTTGTAAGATTTCCATTCATCCGAAAAAATAGTTGTACCAGGCTCAATCCACTCTTTAATACACTGCATCAGCGTTTCTCTACTTCTATCATGCACTGCCACTAAAAATAATCTCCCAGATCCTCTTTCCACATCTCCAAATACCCACTACCCCTCAACAGGAAGGCCACGATGATATTTCCGTTTGATGAACTTTGATTCATCAACTTCCACCACTTTATTTTTTCCCCCTATCTTCTCAGATACAGAGCAGACTCGTTAACAACTCCAACATCGTACCTTTTAATACTAAATTTCCTTTGCATACAATCTAAAATACACGATTGAAATCTTACCACCAGGTCTCTCATTGCAGCATAGGTCATTTCGAAACACGCACGACAGGAAACAACAAGCAATTAAACTACACCAGCAAAATATTTTTCACCATCAACAGGGTTGCCATACAACATGCAATTGTGCGAAAAGCCAGCGCAGAACACATATTGCCACATTTGGTAATATTAAGGCGCATATAAGAGTAGAGCCCTTTTTTCTTTGGTGGCAATTTGGAAATTAAGGCTAAGTTTTAAATGCAAATATCTTGAAAATGGCTACATGACTATTACAAAGTTAGGTAATAATACATAATTTAAGGCATATAATTTATTGAAATATCGATCAGTATGTCATTAAAAAAAATCAATATTTTTTTAAGTTTTTACGTTACAGGAATGCTGTATTATCCTAACTCATACTTTCAAGACATAGAAAAATGCAATTTACAGCATTTTGATCAGCCGTAGAATTGTTCTCCACTTTTTTAACTTTTTCTCTTTAGGGCTCCTGATGGCTCATGCATTTTAACTTGCAGCGATGATAACATTTTACGAATCTTCAATCTGCCTCCACAGATATGGGAAGCATCTCAGTGGGAAGACATTACAGAAATGGTAAGAGATAAATTTAGAGAATAAATATTTCATTTGAAATTTTAGTTTTATTTTATATCCTTATTTTGAAGATATTGATACATTTCAAGTAATGTAGATATATCAAAACAGAAGACAAACATGCTAAAGTGAAACAGATAAAATTAGCAAAGCAACAGCCTTGTGTATGGCATACATTTAGTCAAGAACTCTATCAATTTTGAGGGCAAACGGGTATAGATTCCTCTCCGCCAGGAGAAGAACAGTCTGCAAGACTAGATTGTAGATCATCAGTTTGCTCCACGCTGCCATATTACTATCTAAATTTTTCGTCTACATTTCGAACTTTAAGCCTAAAATCTCTCAAAAAATGTAGTTTTCGCACATGCAAAAATCCACGTTTTGAACACACAATTTAAGCTGAAAATCCAAAACAAAAACAAAAAATTTAGATAGCAAAGATGTAAAGTTTCTAACAAAAAATATTTGACAAGAATCCATGTACACAGCGATATGTTTTAACTTTAAAAAAATCTACGAATTGCACAATCTAGGCAGTGAACGAATCTATGAACTATACACCTAGCTTTAATAAATTAACATAACAACAATAAATTTCAAAAAATACCATGTATACAGCGTTCTGTTTCAACTAAAACATCTACGAATTGCACAATCTAGGCACTATGCACTAATCAACCACAAAACTAAAATAAATTTCAAACAATTATAAAAAACAACAATAACGACAGAAATTCATACTAAAAAAACAATGAACATGACATTCTACAAAATAAGAACTAGAATAAAATAAAATGCACTTACCATGAATGAATGCTTTTTCGAACAGCAGTAATACCAATTTCGTACTGCCTACACAATTTTATGTAAGTACTATATTGGGTTTTTACCAGGATATCAATTTTTGCCCTAATGCCTATCACTTTAATTGAATTTTTGAGATGCAATTACACTGTACACCCATAGATTAGAATAATTAGGTTGCAAAGTCATGTGGCAAGAAGTCACAGTTTTCAAAATATTTAAACATGGTTCTTTCTGTATAGCATTTTGTTTTTTATGCTTATCATTTCAGTCTTTAGGTTTTCATAATTTATAAATTCGATCATTATGTAAATAACTTGCAGTTATTCTTTTGATTTTAATTTCTGAGAGCAGATGGTTTGTATCACGTGGTATGGCTATCACATAGGCGACAGTCTTTAACGCGAGTTCGTGATTGATCATGCAAGTTACACAGTAAATACACTGAAAATTTCACGAAGTTATGATCTGCTTTGGTAAAAAAAAATAAAGTCTAATTCTGCTTAAGTGATTCACAATTCACAAATACACAATTTTATTTAAGTACTATTTAAAAGTGTTGGAAAAAATAAGCAAAATGCAACCCTGCTTTGCCAAGGCATACAATGTCTTTAATCCTGCTTTGTCAGGTGACACAAAATAACATTATTGAAGAATTTGAATTCTTTATATATATAAGTTGCTAAAGTGTGTGTCGCCAATAGTTTATTGTTGCCACTCAGAAAAAATGAGCGCAAAATTAACGTTTCTGCTGTTTTTAATTAATATCTCGGCCGATTAAAATCATAAGAAGATGAGAATGGTATCGATGGATTGGGAGAATTTTTTGGAATCCGAGGATACACGTCTCGAATTTCAACTCGCCACAGTTCCGTAGATATTCGAGAAAAAAGAATTTGGCATATAGCCAAATCCCTCTAATAGGGAACACACAAGAAAGAAAGTGGAAAATGTAGGGAAAATTAGTTTTTAATTAATATCTCAGCTAATTAGAGTCCCAAGAAGACGCGAAGGGTCAAAATGGCGTGCCACGGACCTGCGGAATCCAGCGGTGTGCTTTGCTAATCTCGGGAGCCAGTCATTTCGGAGGAGATGATGTTACTTCACCCCATATACAAATGTGGCTTAAGTTTCTGTTTGTCGCCGATAGTTTATTGGTTGCTTGCGTAACTGTGCTAGCCAATGGGGTGAAGTTGCCACGGCACAGGGTTGCCGCTTCAATTGAGACGTAGACAATTCCTGTAAAACTTGCTGTTGCTATGACCATCCATAAGTCTCAGGGTGAAACGCTTAAGCGTGTTAGCATTTTTTTACCTGAGCCTGCATTTGGACACGGTCAACTTTATGTTGCCTGTTCAAGAGATCGTGAAAGAACGAATGTAAAATTAAAAATAATGGATGGTCCTCTGCAAGGCGAGCTTAAAAATGATGGAAAGATCTACACAAGAAATGTTGTGTACAATATTTCTTGTGTAGATCTTTGACATGTGACATGTACATCTTTGACATGTGAATTAACATTTTGTTATTTAAATCACCTTTATTTATTGATCTAGCAGTGGCTCTTAAGAAATGTACCACCAGTGGTTTTTTTCATTGCACTCTACTTTAAGCAATTAAGCAAGTAGAAGGGGGAAACCCCATGGGGCAGTAAGCAAAGGGGCATCCTCGCAGCCTGCCTTGGGTAATTCAGTTTAAATTAGCAGATACCTTTGCACAAATCATTTTAATTACAATTTATAATATATAGAACAGCGGTAATTTCGTATGACCGCCGGGCGTTCTAGTATGTCCATAATTACAACTTCACCATCATAATGAATTATGGTGTATTTTGCGTTGTCTTTTTACAATATTTTCTACTGTGGGATCATAGTTGATTCATTTTTGTGTGGCTCTCTTTAGTGAATTTTTCATGCTTTCGAAAAATATTGCTAACTGTGATGAATATCTGATCATGAATTACACTCATGTCCATAAATTAAGGATAATGCTAAATCAGGCAAAGGAAGAGTTAGAAGCAAAACATTATTAAAAAAATTTGACTTATTTGTCAAGCTTATTTATTAAACAAAAGGTAAAGAGCAAAAAAAAGATGCTATATGTTTGATATTATTAAAAAAATTAGGAATTTTTTCTCCCTGGAGCAAATTACACCCTATTTACTAAAAACCAATATTACATGGTTGGTATGATTGTTAATACATTGTATGTCTCCCAGACGATGCAATATAGTCCGTACAACGCCTAGACATGCTGAGTATCAAATTATCGATCTGATCTTGGGGGATATTACACTACTAAAAAAGCAATTCTCTCCGAAGTTCCAGTAGACATGTAGGAGGAGGTTGACTGGCTGCAACTCGTCGGCCAAGCATGTCCCACACGTGCTCTACTGTATTCAAGTCTGGTGAGAATGCTGGGCAGTCCATACGGGTGATATCCTCCGACTGAAGGCATTCGCTTACAATGTTTGCACGGTGAGGATGGTCGTTGTCATCCATAAACACAAATTGTGCGCCCATGGTGCCCTGAAACAAGCATACATGTTGTTCCAGAAGGACGTCCCGATAGATTTAACTTGTCATGGTTCCAATTTGAACATGCAGGTCAGTTCTGGAACACAATAATTCCACCCCAAACGAGCACTCCTGCACCACCGTAACGGTGTCTTTCAGTGATGTTTTCTTGGTGGTAACGGGTACCTGGAGCTCTCCATATGAAAGTCCTGCGAGAATCAGACTGCAAGCTAAACCTGGACTCGTCGGAAAACATCACACAAGCCCACTGTTGCGGTGTCCACAATGCATGCTGTCTACTCCAGGCTAACTGCAGGCGACAGTAAGTTGCAGTAAGTGGAATGCATCTGACAGGTCTACGAGCGTATAGACCAATCTGCCCTAAGCGTCTGTACACGGTCTGCCTTGAAATTGTCGTACCAGTGGCTGAAGAGAGCTGACGAGACAGGTTTGAGGCTATGCTCCGCCTGTTTCTTTTGACAGTAACTGCCAAATACCGGTCCTCATTCGGTGTTGTAACTCTGGGGCGACCTGTGTTGTAATGTCTACTCACATTACCATCATCTTGGAATCGTTGCCAAAGCTTGGAGATGACACTCTGGGCAATTCCAAGTTCGTCTGATATTTCCAGTTGGGTACGCCCACATTCCAGATGGCCGGTAATTCTATCATGTAAAAAATCATCCAAATGCATATTTTGTATCATAACTATTCGGTTATTGCACTGAAATGCTTATAAAGTGCCTGCGAACAATTTTACTTCTTTGCCTGTATTCCTTATAGATCACTCTCTTACACTCTCATCATTGTGGCGTACCATCGGTGTCATCTGTTTACTTCCTGAAAGTTGCATATGATTCTTCAAGATGTGTGTAGTGATTTTACAGGTGATATATTAATTTTAGAGTTCGATTTCCGCGTGACTCTGAATTATCCTTAATTTATGGACATGAGTGTAGATTAATTTGCTGGCCTGTATGAATTTATAAATTTCTTGTAAACCAAGGTTCGTTTATGATGGAATGGATAATTTTGTTTTGAAGCACATTTATTATTATTCTCTCTGTTTTGTTGAATGTGGCTGATGCTGGGACAGCATATACTAAGATATGGCAAATTAAGGAAATTTTAAGTGTTTTCTTGGCTTTGATGCTTAATTTCAACTTCATGTCGATGGTTTTAATAAAGTTATAATAATTGAATGCTTCCACTGTTGTGGAAAATAGCATAACTGGATGCATGCATTAAAGATGTTAGCTAAAAGCACAATACATCATCTAGGGAAAGCTTTTATCATTGATGGTTTCAAATCCCTTAGCTTTTCTTGTTTTTAAATTCTTGATAATTTTCCTATCTTACCCAGGGAAAATGGGTGATACGAAATTAATTTTACTTCTATTTTTGATACTTAAAACAGAATTTTGTATTTCCTCTTTGTGGTCTGTGTCATCAAGTTGGTGAGGTTTGAAGATCTCGGCTACTGCTGCCATGACATTTGCTATTTCTTTTTCTGCATGGTGGATTTCCCTTGTGAATAATAGGAGTTAAGTGATTTCTTCTTCCTTTTTGGATAGAATTTGCAATTGTCCAAACTGTATTAGGTTGTAAATCTAAGTTTACAAGTAGAGAATGCCATATATCTGATTGATAGTTTTCAATTTCATGGTCAATTTTCCT